GTGTTCAACTCATCCTTCTTCACCTAAGAACCAAAAAAATTAATGAATAAATTACTTAATTAAAATCAGAATTACAAAGAAAATGTTCTAAAACTAAAAAAAAAAGTGCTGACCGATGAAACATAATAAAAAATAAATAAAATCAGATTACTTGGATTAGATTCTTGCCTTCACCGCTTATGAGCTTGGTTGTACCACTTGGAATCTGTTCCCACAGATGTCTAACTTGGATACTTACCTATGTCAGAGATTCACTGGGAAGGTTAAATTCAATTCATGTGAAGCACTTGGTATAGTATCTAGTATAGGGAACTCTAAGATTATTATTAATACTAATCTAGAGTGATTCATAAAAACCTAAAGCAGTTTGATAGCGAAGTAGTTTTTGTCTGGAGGAAGTGGAAGGATCAGCAAGCTCTACTAATGCTCCCCTGCTACCAATAGTGAGAACCTGACCTGCTCTGTCTTCCTTGGTGTTTGTCACCATGGGATTCCTAGCTATACAGAAGGAGGGAAGGAAATCACTCAGAGGGCACTAGGACTGGCTGATGAAAAGCCAATGGCAATTGAGAAACAAACTGGACACAGCCAATATGGTGAGTGCTAGGTATTCAGGAAGTAGGGCTCCCAGGACTGCTATCACTGTGTGCTTTGCTCCACTATATTCTGTTCACAGATCATGTATAGGGGCTTAAGAAGGAATAACCTTCATCATGTGGTAATAGTAGAGAGAGAGTTATATTGGAGTTGTTTCAGTGACATGATGCTCAGCATCACATCTGGACAGCACAGAAGCCCAACAAGACACAAAAACAGTATGTGTTTTACTAAATGCTAACTCGCTCATGTTTCAGATCTCCCCCACAGATCCCTGAATATTACACCCACCCATACTTACCCCAGAAACCAGGCAGGGCCTCACCTAGAAAGTATTGTTTGCTTTCCTTGTGTTTATAAAGTTAGCCAAAAAGAGAACCCTACTGATTAAATAATGTATTTATTAGATAAAATGTGTTGATAAACAGTCAACGCCATTCTTCTATTTACCCATGATTCCTCTTTATTTGACTGCTAAGTATAAGCGTGCATTAGTATTGCTACCAGCTTAACAGAAGACATTAAGGCTGTAACAGTGGTGCAGGACACTGTCAGCGAGTCTCTCCTACGCTGGGTGTTAGTAGGGCATTGCCTGCAGGATATCTGTGCTTAGTTGCCCTGCTGCATTGCAGTTTGTAAAGGGATCACTCATTCAGAGAAAAATAAAAGTGAGATCAAGTGGTTAGCACCAGCATCCCCAGAGACTTCAGCAGCCGGTTTGTAGTTTCTGCTCCAACTTCATTTCTGCAAAATAAGACAAGCGTAGTCAGCTTGATGGAAATGAATCCATTCAGAAAAAAATGCTCTAAAAAGTCACACATTAATACTATCTTGGCATAACTTCTCATATAAAGAACAGTTTATAACAGGAACAATTTGTTTTTCTTCCCTCCATAGCTGTTTTCCTAACATGATTAATAGCAAAACAGAGATGCGGGGTTGTATCTGACACCAGACCTGGATCCCCTGAGAACTCCGTGGAGCTATCCTGGCCTCCTGCAAGGGGTCAGGGTAGCTTTGACAGGTTCTTACAGCCTAAGCCAAATCACCGCCACAGCTCCTCACCCTTCAAGTTCTTGGCTGCTGCCTTACGATTCCTTAGAAGTGCCAGTAGAATTCCCTAAAATATAACATCTAAAACAAGGAGATGGAGTGAATAGGGAATGGATTAAGCCCCAACTTTTTCAAAATGCAGCATTACAAAAGACACAGGAAACAAATAAACCTCTTGCCTGTTTTTAATATCTTAATTTGATCAGCTTTGTAATGTTGTTATGTGGTAGAGCAGTGCATCCAATAATTTCCTCACTCATTAAATCTCACTGTATTCCTATTTGATAGGGTTAGATGACCTGGAACAGATAAGATAAACTGAACTGAGTATTGGCAACTGTGAAGGTAGATGATGAAACAGAAGAAAGGAACATATAAAAGGCAGCATCAGAGATGATGACAGAGGAGAGTTAGTTCTACAATGTTAGTTCTACAATGTTGATGTAAATGGAACAGGGTGATAGAGTTACACAAATAGAGGAGAGAACCAGAACTTTCAACCCAGGTGCCAATGGCGAAGATGGAGCATTCCCCAATGGCTGACTCTGATGGGGAAACATGCAAACCAGTTGCTGCTCTGGTGACAATCTTGCCTGCTTTGCCTTAGGCATGATCATGGGGTGAAGGAGTTGTGGCTCAGAGCTAACGCCAAGCAGAATGAGCTCTGGGCAAGGAAGTTATTACAAAAGAAAGAAAATCCGAGTATGGCAGAGCCAAGAAGATAAGGAGGTTGGTACACTTGCATGTGTTCTGCATCATTTAAAAGAAACAGCATTTGTTAAAGCAGAAGGAGGCGGTAGAGAAAATATATGAAGATTGGGGAAAACAACAACGGGAACCCGAAGGGCCCAACAAAAAAAAAAACCAAGGAAAAAGCAAGAAAAAAAAAAAACTAACGCCTCCAACCCCAAAAAAAACCCAAGGCTGAAAATAAACAGAGAGAAACAAATGTCATATGCCTCCTCCCTCTTTCCTAACACACAAAAACGGGCTACTCATTTCATTTTTCCTGAAAATACAACCCTTAGTATGTAATATCACCAGAGGTTTAAAGACATCACCATTATTGTGGATAACATTTATTACATGCAACATATTTTACACATTAAGTTCTTTATATGAATAGCTTCACTATGATCCTTTGATCCCATTTTACAGAGAATGCAAGTGAAGAACAAAATGATTAAATATTATGCCTGTGGTAGTTACATAATCCAGTGTCCATTTGGGACTGGAGAGGATTCAGAGTCAAGGGGTTGAATGTAGTCTTGTCAATCAGATCACAGCCAATGAGATCTCTGTGTGGGCATGGCCTTCTCCTGAGAATTCTGGGAATTCCTGGATTTCCTCCTTGGAGGCAGGAGACAGACTCTCTTGGCTCACTCCCTTGGAGACTCTCTACAGAGAAGACACATGGCACTATACAGATAGACCCCACACCCTGGGAACTGGAAGTCATGTAGAGACCCCTGCCAGTGCTGAGATACTTGCAACGCCACTGGATCCAAAGACTTTCTACCCACTGACCTGTGATCTTTCTGCACACTGTCATTGCATTTGTTTTGTGAGTCTGAAGAGGACTTTATAGATTGGTATCAAACATATGGGCTAATATCGGACTTAAGGACTTGATCAGGACTGGGGCGTTTTCTCAATATTCAATTGCTCTTGTATATAAACGTTTTTCTTATACACATATGAGTCTTCATGGATTTGTTTTTCTTGTCCACAGACTAACACAATGCCCAAAGATATATTACTCAAAATTGAATCCCAGTTTGGTCAATGTTTCCTATTGTTCCTGCTTCTGAAACCATTCGTTTTTGTTGCTAGAAGAATTGAAAAATAAAATGTGCAATGAAGCATGCTGTAGCCAGGATTTTAACATTTAGTAAATATTGAACTTAATGCCCTTTCTGTTCGTTTTCAAATACAAGATTCCACAATTAAAATAAAATTCCATCTTATTAGAGAAGAACAGGAATTTTACTCCCTGTCAGCAGGAAAACAAACCCAGTACACTCTTTTATTGCCTTTCCTGAACCCCCTGGCAGGGCAAACTAATGATTGTTACCACAGCTGAGCAGCTGGATGGCCCTGATGCAGTATGCCATGAGAGGTACGGACAATTTTAGACAGTATCCGAAGTCCACCTTCCTTTACCTATTTCAAAATGGCTAAAAAGCTAGGTAGCTTGGGAAGAACAAAAGTTAACATTTAAGAAAGGTAAAGAGCAATAATAAAATTTAAACAGCTTTTGAGGTTCACTATTTTCTCACCTTGCCAAGTGAGCAACACACTTTTTTTTTGGATATAAGAAAATATATCTATGAAAAAGGTTAATAAGATACTTAGAAAATCATAATTGTGAAGGAAGTCAAATCTTTTTTGGGGGGGCTTTGCTTTAACATTCAGTAATAATTGACACAATCTTGTGAATCTTCATGCTGATGTTATAGGAAGGATTTATTTTTAAAGAATGGTCTTTTAAAAGTAAATATACTTTGCTTTAATGCAAAAGAGCTACATATACGATTTCTTGCCAAATAAAAGCTTTGATGCCCTAAAAATGATCTGCATGTATGTTCTGGTAAGCATAAAAACAGACATATGTATCTGCAACAAAAAGTCATTTCCAGAAATGGTATAATACTGTTTTATGTCGGACAGTCCCATTTTAAATGACATTTGAAGTGCATGTGTGCCTCGCAGGACTAACTGGGGTGTGTAGGAATCGTGTATGGTCTCCATGTGCCAGGAGCTATCGACACGTTCAATAAGTAAGGGCACAGAAAGGAAGCAGGAGAGATAGCGCTAGCAGGTATAAAGGACTCCAGAGCAGTGGTTCTCAATCTGCGCGTCACAACCCCTTTGGGGGTCAAACAACCCATTCTCAGAGGTTAGTCAATTCATAGCAGTGGCAAATTTACAGTTACGAAGTAACAACAAAAACAATTTTATGCTTGGGGGTCACCACAACATGAGGAACTGTTATAAATGGTCTCAGCATTAGGAAGATTGAGAACCACTGCGCTAGAGGGTGCAACATGGAATTGGGGTCAAAATAATCCAGATGAATGCAGCTTCATGTAGTTATTAGCTATTTCCCCTCTTCATTATTTACTCTGCTCCTCTTAAACAAGGAGAAATAGACAAATGGTCTTCCCAAGCCTCCACTCAGAATCATTATAATTTCTACTAGTTCCTGACTACTGTTCAGCGTAGCAACAACTCATTACAATATTGCACCCAACTTTAATCTAATAAAATGACTTTGAAGGAGTAAACTCCAAATCGTCAAGCCCCCACCACTTCTGTAAATTCAATGGAGACTACAGAAGAGAAAAATAAGTGTGACCTATTTCTTCCCATACTTTAGAATCAGAATCCCCCAGATTTCAGACCAGGCCCTTGTGAAGTAAGAGAGGCAAGCTGAGGCACCTAATACTGCTGATCTTGGAATGGAAAATTCTTGGGGAATTTCCTTGTCTACCGACATACCTCTGCAATGTAGCATGAGCGTTGTAGTACTCGTGTTAAGTGTTTTTATGTTTGTAAGGTAAATTGTCCTTGACCCTCTGGCCAGTTATCTATTAAGTGATTAAAAGTATATGGATCCAGTTGTAAAGTTCTTACCTGAGATTATAACCTTAACTCTGTAACCAAACCTTTATTGAAACTTGAACTTGAGAAATAATATTTATGGGGCTGCCTGAAAGGAATTGAGTACACCCATCTACTTGATAATCTCATTTTTACACTTGAATGAAACCAGAAAATGAATGTGGCTTTCTTGGACAAGTCCCTTATTTTTTTTTCCTTTCATAGACTAAAAACAGAAGAAAGGATGGCTTGTCTCATAAGATTAGAATCTCAAACTTCAATGGCGTTTCTGAAATCCAAAACAAAATAAGCACAAAAACTTATATTTCACCACTGCAGCCAATCAGTCAGTCACCTTGCTGGCACAGCTGTTGTGTTACCAGTCCTTAAGTGTTTATCAAAAATTCTGCAAAGACAAGGTCTAAAAGAACAGGAAAAATGTTGCTTATTATGTATTTTAAGGGGTCCTTAGTGAATCATTCTCTCTGAAGTTGTGTTCTTAACCAAAATAGGACAGAAAGGTCAGAGAAGCAAAAACACCTGAGCAGATTTTTGGAAATCAATTAGTGGTTACCCTTGGAAAGCGCTGACGGCACCCTCAAATTGAAAATAAAATCAACTTGGGCTTCATGCACCGAGATATAAAAACTAAGTTGATTGGCTATTCTAGAGAGCCAATGAAGGAGCTGGAATGGAGGAACCCAATGATGGTGGCAGCTTTGAATTCCCTGGGGATATTTGCCCACCCACCATCACCCTTCAGAGAAGCCTGGTACAACGGTCCTTGCTCTATTTAAGAAAGGAACTAGGTGATCCAAATGTTCCACTGCATTGAGAACCTCTGAGCCGGATGATAAGCACAAGTGTTGTTTTTCGTTAATGCCTTTTAAATGTACTGCAGAAATTAGATGATATAAAGATGATGGGTGTGGCAAATCAGATACGCTTAGAATCTGTTTGCATGTCAATGACTCACTGACTGTATTTAAAAAAAAGAAAAGAACGAGGCATAGTCTCCCCTTGGGTTCTTAAAAAAAAACAACAGTAACAAACAATAGTAACAACTCTGTGCCCAGAAATTGCACGGTGGGATTCCAGAAACAGGCTCTGGGAAGTGACAAAGACCGTCGTAAGGAAAGGAAAGCAACACCCAGGGCCATTCTGGGGTCAAGTAAGGGCTCTGCCAGCATGCCTTATTCTTGCTAGGGTTGTAGCTAGAATGGATTCTCCCGTAGGGTCACAAACAAGAGCTGCTTTCGGTAAATACATGACAGTGAAAGGGTCTGAGGGAACGAAGAGTCTGACCATAAGGAATTGTCAAAAGTTTCTAAAATGTTCACCAACATTACTAAAGAGCAAAATGTAGCACAATGAAAGCATAAAATGTCCTTTTGTTCAATTGTTTACTTTTCTCAGTGTAACTCACTGCCTGTCATACATATTAAGCGTCTAGCCTTAGTTTCTCCTATGATGTTTTTCTTCTATTTCCAAACTAGGGTCAAATACTTTTATAGCTTACTAAACTTTCTTCATTTTTCTTGTATTTGAAGTTTAATATCAGAGTTAAATAATTGTTCTAAGAAATGTAAATACAATATTTGCCTTGTGTTCTTTGATGCAAAATATGTCATGTCACCTAAAATTCAGACTTACTGCCATTAAGTTCATGCCAACTCATAGTGGCCCTATATCGGGTTTCTGAGGCTGTGAATCCTTACCAGAGCAGATAGACCAATAGAAAACATCACGACAAATGGAGATCAGAGTTGCCGAGAAGTTCATTTTACTAAAATCCACAATCAACATTCATGGAGCCAGAGGTCATGAAATCAAAAGATATATTG